CAAATACGTTCGAAGAAAATTTAGTTATATGCCAAAGTAAAGATGAGCGAATAGGAAAGATAAAGGAGGATTTAGAACTTAGAGAAAACATCCACTATGAAATGAGAAACGGGATAGTGTATAGAAAAAGAGACAAGGACTTACTTTTTTACGTGCCAGAGTCCATGGAAAGGCATGTTTTATACAAGTATCATGATGAGATGGGGCACCTAGGTGTAGACAAAGTTGTGCAAACTATAGGGAAAAGTTATTGGTTCCCAGGAATTAAAAAAAGCAACCGTTCGCATCGAGAACTGCCTAAAGTGCATAGCCTTTTCGAATAAGAGTGGTAAAAAGGAGGGACTTCTACACATGATACCGAAAGGAAGCATACCTTTCGAAATGATACACGTTGACCACTACGGACCGATTCACAGCAAGTCCACAAAGTACAAACATGTCTTAGCAGTCGTAGATGCATTTACAAAATTTGCCGTCTATACTCAGCTAAGACGACAGCGTCGAAGGAAGCAATCTTAGCGTTAAAAGAGTACTTTAGAGCATATAGCAGACCGAAGTTTATAGTGTCGGACCCGGGAACATGCTTTACGTCAAACGAATTTGGAGACTTTTAAAAATGTAACAACGTTGAGTACATAAAAGTAGCGACAAATTCTCCTCAAGCGAATGGTCAGGCTGAAATTGTTAATAAAAGCTTAGGTCCAATGATCGCAAAAATGATAGACTCTGAAGAAGATATAGGGTGGGAAAAAGTACTAGAATCAGCAGAGACGCGATGAACAATACAGTGCACAAAGCAACGAAAGAACAAACTAGCGTGTTATTGTTCGGAGTTAGGCAAAAAGGAAAAGTCATAGATAGCCTCAGAGAAAATGTGTTAGAATCAGTACAAGACCCAAGCCCTGCCCCAATAGAAAGTGTAAGGGAACAAGCAAAGGCAGTACAAAGCAAAGCGCAAATTTACAATAAAGAATATTCCGATGCCAAACGACGAGAACCACGCAAGTTCAACGTAGGTGATTATGTAGTAATACTCAACGTTAGCTCGCAGGTAGGAGCGTCTACCAAGTTAGTACCTAAATTCAAAGGACCATACAGAGTGTAGGAAGTTCTAAAAACCGATCGGTATGTGGTAGAAGACAACAACAACACAACCCCTTCAACAAACACAGATACCCTACAGAGGCACCTGGTCTATAACAAATTTAAAACCGTGGTACGAATATAGAACAAGCGAAGACAAAAAAAAAAATAAATAAAAGAAGCTGAGTCGTTTGTAGGTTAATAAAGTACTAACTATAGCACGGCGTACATTTTAACGTCGTAGAATCAGGAGATTCTATAATGTCAGGACGGCCGAGTTGTAGGAGTCGATAAGGTTTAGGAGTAGAATGTACGTGTGCTTTTACTTACGTATCTAGCTTTAAGTCATAGTTTAAGTAACTTGTTTGTAACTATTGTAATATTAGTTGGCAACCCTAGCTTTTAAGACTAGTAGCGATAACTCGTTGTAACTAGCGATTAAGACTCGTTGTAAAGGACCCGCCATTTTCAGAATAAGAGATTCATTCGATTTTTGCCAGCGAACACTTCGGACGTTCTTTTATTTTGTCACTTTGCCTTCTGCATATTTAAGTACAGAAAATTATGACAAATATATAGTAGTTAAAGCACGATAAAGCTAAAAGTATGGTTCATAAGGATGCCTTAATTTAAACAGAAAGAAAATAATTTGTCTCCTTTAATTTATGCTGAACTGAATATTGTACTACTGTTTTATATTTTGATTTATTTACCCCGAACGACGTCGGGTGCTCTGCTAGTTTACATATACAGTGAAACCTCTCCTAACGGACACCTCTATTAGAAGGACATCTCCCTTGGGCGGACATTTTTTCCTATACCAAGTTTTAACTATAAATTTCGGAACAAACTGACACAAAAACCTCTATTGAGCGGACGCGAACATCTTATCAACGGACATTAAGATTTCTTTTCATAACAAATCAAACAAAAACCTCCGTTGAGCGGACGAGATCTCTTCATAGGCGAACTACTAAATGGAAAAGGGGGACTTCCCGCATAAAATGTGATTTTTATGCACACATTTAGTTTGGTTTGCGCAGTGGTTTAGGTTCGTTATTTGAATTATCAGAAACCCTTGGAGAATCCAATTCCGAATCTGATGAATTTATAACAGTGCTGCTCAAAATTTGTATATTGAAGTGAAATCACAATACATCTACAAAATTTATGTGCACAATGAGATTTTTTTTTTGTAATTTAAATGAAGCTAAAAAGTACAAGTTTATTTATATTGTACGATTAGTGAATGAAAATTGTTAGCAATGGGAGTCTTTACATACATATTTGTGAAAAATATAGTTAAGAAATGATAGCGACCTAGTGGCTGAAAAGTCGCAAAGTTTAGTGGGAGGAATCCTTGGACATATTTACAACATATTGCAAGCTCAAATTTTACATTTTCATTCGTATCATTGGGATACTCCTCGCATATAAAAGTCCCATTTTAAAGCGTTAATAAATGATAGCACCATTGAAGCAATATGCAATAAAATTTAAGGAGGGCACCTTAAATCAAGGGTGGACAGGAGATAAGAGTTTCTCCAACATTAATTTATAATTTTATTTTATTTTTTGCGCGAAGTTTGCCGCACATTTATTGGCATTTTCTGTCAAAGCCGCGAAATTTATTTTTTCTGCAATCCGACGTTGGAAGAATATCTGCAATCCTATCAATTTTACGCGGTGTGATGCTCCCAGGGATCTGCGTTGGATTCAGATTGGAAATCAATCATTTTCTATATCCCCTTTGAAAATTTCCAAAAAGTTTTGACGGCAAGTTACAAAATTGCAAGTAATATTTCGTCATTCGTTTAATAATTACAAAGCACAACATACACTAGGTACGCTTCGCACTCAAAATTGCAAAAAAGATCTCGCGCTTACACACTTTAATGATCGCCATGTGTTTTTTTTTAATAAACTTCGTTTTCACGTTCAGTAAATACGAATGTTAAATCAATTTATAATATACTTTTTTTTTCAGTGCTGACATATCTTGTATTATTTTTTGATTCTATAATTGNCGCTTACACACTTTAATGATCGCCATGTGTTTTTTTTAATAAACTTCGTTTTCACGTTCAGTAAATACGAATGTTAAATCAATTTATAATATACATTTTTTTTCAGTGCTGACATATCTTGTATTATTTTTTGATTCTATAATTGTTTGTGTAAATTTGTACATTTTCCTGGAGTACCTTAGCTTCATATGCGAGGGCGTTTGCTTTGCCCTTCTATATGAAACTCAGGCACTTTCATACGAATTGTGTTTATATGTCAGGGCATACGGGAGGGCGATACATTTTTTTTTATATTTAAAGTGTAAATTTGTATATGTGCCTATACTTCAGGGCAAAACAAAAAAAAATGTGCTACAAGTCCTTATGGAGTGAGCAGCTCTGATTTATAACAATAGATAATAATAAATACATGGACCGAAAATTTAGACTTCTGGTTGGATTTTGTTACTGATAAAAACATGAAAACTATTGATGAAAAAGGTACTGACACTGAAAAAAAAAATAAAACTTACGTCAATCGACAATTTCCCAGTTTATTATGTAATGAATCTATGGTTTTATGTAGTTTATGGACTGAAATGTAATGTTTATTTTTATTTTGTTATTACTTAATATGTACTTAAGCACATAACTGAAATATGCACTTTTGAAAAAATACATGCACATTTTTGTTTGAACGATGTAATATCAATATCTTTTATTCAAATAAGAAATAGTGACTATTCAATTAATTAAAACATTAAAAAGTTCTAAAATAAGCTTCCCTTCCATTCAGCGGACAACTCTCTTGGGCGGACAAAAAATGACTGACGGTCAGTGTCCGCCCAAGGGAGGTTTCAAATAATAAAAACTAATTTTTTACCAAAGGTCATATTTCGAACTTCGAAGGCCCATATCTCGATTTTGGAGGCTAACTTCGAAAAACGGAGAAATTACTTTTTTTCCTATGACTCAATCTCTTAAAAAATTGGTTTGGTCCAATACCCAGCCGAGTGCTGTACAGTGTAATGATTCCAGTATCTTAATTTATGTATATTGTAATTATCAATATCTTATAGAGATGTGTAAATTTTTTTTATCTAAAACTAATAAAGTTAGAAGGACGAAATTCGAGGATGTGGTGGTTTACATATTAGTCCCTGACATATATTGTTTTCAAAAATAAATATTGGAAATTGATAATATAGTAGATAAAGTTTTAAAAGGACATTTTCAACATTCTCATTTTCGTTGTTGGTGTTTCCACCATGATGTAATGTGGAACGATTTTCCGTCATCCCTTGTCAAATTTGGTTTGGAGACAAACCGGTTTCGGCGTTGTGCCATCTTCAGTGTCATTTTTCGTTCTCATAAGATGGCACAACGCCGAAACCGGTTTGTCTCCAAACCAAATTTGACAAGGGATGACGGAAAATCTCGTTCCACAATACATCATTTTCAACACTTATTCGTCCTGGTGAAACTTTTTTTCAAGTCTACAGAGTTTTTCCTTTTAATTGATACCCATATTGTTACTCTACAAAGCACCAAATCTTTTAAATAATTTTTTTAATTCAATCATATCTCTAAATTTCAAAGTACTTTAAAAAAATCCTGACGTCAGAGAGAAAAATTAAAAACGCAGTTAACCAATATTTGGCTCCTTGTTTTGTGAGTATATTGATTTTTTCGTGTGTTTTAAAAATTTTTGGTTTTTGTCGCACGGTTTTATATCCAAAAGCAACCAGCTTGGTATAGTTTACAACAATGAAAATAAAGCTAAATAACGCAAAGGTTACCTGTTTTTTAGATTTGTCATATGTGTTTGAAAAACGGGGGAATTCGAAATACATGAATGTTTTTGGTTGACTATTTTTCGGATTTGCGCATATGACCATGTTTTAATCTTACCTTTATTTGTTTCGGGAACTACATGTATCATAATTCCACTATCTCCTGGAGTATCATCGTGATCTTGTATGCGGAACTCCTCATTTTCCTTGCGGAAGGGATTACCTTCATTTAAAGACTGGTAATTTGTATCGGCATTCGAAGCCATTTCTAAAAATGCATGTAAATATTAATTTATAATTTTTTTTTTTATTTCAATTCAATTAGTCTACAGAGTAAATATTCTTACAGACTGTCATTTAACCTTAAAATAGTTTTCATTATACGCGTGAAGGTACATTAATTACAAATTTTTAACAGTTCCAGTTTAAACTTATATATCCCATATTAAAATTTATGCGTGAGAATTAAATAAACGAATAATTCTAGCTATTGGCTTGCATGCATATAAGGTCTTGTATATATATAGCTTCTAAAAAAGTTTGCAGCTGCGAATTTGTGTATGTAGATGATTTATTCGCAATAGAGATTGAGGATTTCTTGGCAGCGTATTCTTCCTGACTAAGTGTTGTAAGCAAACATAATGGATAAATATGACCTCCTGTCCGCCAGTGCTTGTAAACCTAGTTGATTCCTCGGATAAGATACCATTACGTGTACCATTAATGACGGAACCCCATTAAAAGCACCAGTAAGGCCAAGGCCACGCCTACTGGTTCCTCTAATGGCGTCTTTACCGGCGCCTCCAACACCCTTAGGTCGAGGCCACGCAATGAGCGGCTGAGCGGCTTAAAATTAGAACATATGAAATACTATTGAAGTGGCCAGGCACTGAACTTCATTTCTGTATGGCGGCGCTCAGCCGCTCGCCGCTTTGCCGCTCATTGCGTGGCCTCGACCTAAGGGTGTTGGAGGCGCCGGTAGAGACGCCATTAGAGGAACAAGTGGGGCACCGTTCGTGACGCTAATAAAGACGCCGGTCGAGGCACAAGTGGGGGTATGATGACATGGACCACAAGCCCAATTAATTCGATTAGCGCAAATCGCGTGAATTTTTTCTGGATCATTTCTATCCGTCGCGAGAGGAAATCATCATAGGGATTCCAGAGTGGCGTTGAGGAACACCTTAATGACACCTAATTCCTACATATATTTCGACTGCTTTAGTAACCCCGGTAGTGCAAAGAGAGCCGATGGTGACTAGCGCCTAGGACATTGCCTTGTAAAAGTAATCGCTGAAATACACTGCAAGTAGTCGGTCGGTAATTGACGGAGTTTACCAGGTAGCTACCGATTCATCAGCCCTGTAGTCGCTTCCCCGTACTGCAGGGCATCGACAAAATTTTTTTCACATGCATACACACATAGTTGTAGAATGTGCATATGTATAAATATTGTATATGTATATAAGTATGTATGTACATACATACATACACACATAAGTAGATATGAACCCTGCAGCAAATCAAAATGGTTCAGAACTTGCGCCGATGTCCTACGAAGTGACAATTATCGCCCTCTGCAGAACTTTTGAACTTGTTCTGAACTGACTCTGGCTTAGATGGTTCTGAGACAGTTCATATAACAACAGTTCCTTGATAGTTCAAAAAGGGTCACTTCCGGGCTAGAACAAATGCGGTTAGTTTTGAGCTGGTTCCAAGAAGTTTAGTATATAGCCTTTTCTTTAAATACTATTTAATTAAATAAGTACGCATACAATTTTGTAAATAAAAAATACTTCATTTTATGATTAATGAGCTATTTGTTTTGCACTAATTTACTTTTGAAATTAAGAACTTAAAGTGTCAGTTATTTCTTCATTTTCTAAAACCCTTATCTTTAAAATAATTTATATTTGTTACGTACAAAGGGTATTTCTGTGATACTTATAATTAAATATCTAAACTAAGTCGTGTGAAAAAAATTAGAAAAACAGTGATATATTGAATACTTATTTGTGATAACTCAGCGTTAAATTGTATTAAATGCATTGAAATGTANGCACTAATTTACTTTTGAAATTAAGAACTTAAAGTGTCAGTTATTTCTTCATTTTCTAAAACCCTTATCTTTAAAATAATTTATATTTGTTACGTACAAAGGGTATTTCTGTGATACTTATAATTAAATATCTAAACTAAGTCGTGTGAAAAAAATTAGAAAAACAGTGATATATTGAATACTTATTTGTGATAACTCAGCGTTAAATTGTATTAAATGCATTGAAATGTAATACACAGACTCTCCGGCATCTAATAAGAATTAATAGAATTTTGAATATTTACCATTGTTTTTCATGCTTAATATTTTTCCTAAATATTTTGTTTAAGGATGGCTTATAAGCAGGGAACGGATTTTATGGAAATTGCCTTTTTTCTGCTAAAGAGATAGAGTATATTCGATTAAGAATGTCCACGATTTAGCTTTCCCTGATTCCATATATACACATTTGATGTTGCCTTATTTTGCTTTTTTTAAGATATTTGCCTTTTTTTGCCTTTTCTACCTTTAAAAAATTGATTACAGCATTTACAATTTTTTTTTAAGATTAAAAAATATACACATTAGGGATGTCAATTTTCAGGGTTTTGTCGATCCCGGGATTTTCGGGATCTGAAAATACAATCCCGGGATCCCGGGATTGTCCCGAAATTCAGGCAAAAGTGCAACACATCTGTAATCATCCTATTATAGTATTTTAAATCAGATGATATAACAAAAAAAGTACAATTTATTGTAATTCATTTACATATTTATTAAGGCGATAAATCAGTATTTTCAATCAACAAAAAAAAAACATAAAATTTGACAAACATATATGTATGTATGTACATATCCTCATTAATTTATAACACAGTTTTTGTACTACAAGTACAAATGCATATACGGTGACTCACAGAAATATTTTGCATAGATTTTCTTTGCAATATTCAGAATATTTTGCATGGTATTTTTTTTGTTAATTTAAAAAAATATATATGTATGTGCAATTTTGAAGTTGCTAAAACATCCCGTTGACATTTTATAATTTTTTTTTGCCACAAAAAAATTCGTTATAGGGACTTATAACAACATCGTCAGTAAAAAAAAATTCAAAAATCAAGCGAGTTTTTAGCAACTTTAAAATTGCACTTTATTGTATTAAACTGAATGGGCTATAAAACTGCATAATAGAATTTTTTGTAAAAATTATGATTAAAAAGTTTGATATTTTTATGATAATTTGGTGTACTTAAACGAACTTTCTCTAAAGTGTGAAATTTTGATTTACATGATTTTTGTTGTAAAATGAGCTATATATTTTTTTTAATTAACAAAAAATACCATGAAAAATATTTTGAATATTGCAAAAAAATCGATACAAAATATTTTTGTAAGTGACTGTATTTGGTACAGCAGTAACCATGATACAAAAAAAGAAGGTAGTTTCATTAAACAACTTTTTGATTAAAAATCAGATTTTTGACAATTGCTCAATTGTGAAAAATTCGAAGCGGCGTTACCCCATTGTAAGTTTTTTGGTGTGGGAGATTTTATATTCTTAATTTGGGATTATAAATAAAATAGTTGTGTTAATATTCTCCTTTTAATAATAATTAATATCTTATCTTAAAAACGTTTAAATTTTACATTAAATTCGATAACAAACTTGCCAAATCATTATTTTAATATTAATACAATTTTAGTGAACATATTTTAAAATTTTTTTAGTGTCCTCATGATCATCTGATTATTTCACAATGTAGTTTTCTATATCGGATACGATGATTCTGATATAATTCAGACACTGAAATTATACATTTCGATCTGTTATTTAATACATATTGTCTTTGTCCATTTAACAGCAAATGGAATTTACTTTGGGATCCATGGGCCGCGAAATTTTTCCAGCAACACATATTGTTTTCACATGAAGTTTTGAAACACACAAAAGTGAAGTATAAAATAAATAGATAAAAACAAATTTTCAATCAAACTGATTTGTGTAGTTCAGGGGCGTCCTTAGTAAATGTTTTGGAGGCTGTTTTAATATATCCTATCTTATTATATATTTCTTAGCTTTTCTACATTCTGATAAGTTGAGAGAATGAAGTCTAATATTCTTTTTTGGTCAACTATGACGTTTGATTTCATTTTTTGCAATCATTAGTTCATTTCCTTTGAGGAGTCACAATGCCCATACCGGCCATGTCGATTTTTTTGAAATTTCGGACAAAAATCTTCCAAGAATGGTTATAGGCTAAAACAAAACCGTTATCTAAAGGGGGTGTGGAACCTCCCATACAAATCGAATTTTTCATAGTGCATATCTCTGGAAGTATTTATGGTAGAGTTCTGGAACTTGGTATGGATATATGTATGTATATGAAGTCAATCTCAAGCTCGTGAAAAAATATGGGTTTGTTGGAAAATGCAGCGTGCCACCGTAGAACTTGGAAAAGAGGTAAATGAAATCAATCCCAAACCTATGAAAAATGGGGATATATGAAAACGATCTCGTAGCCAGCTACGAGAGCTCGCGGTATAAGCCATATAAACTAAAATTCTGGTGATGCATAGATACCTCTGGAAGCATTTACCTAGCATACTGAGATGAGGCATTTTTCCAATGGAAATATGTACAGAAAAACGGGCGCGAAACCTTCTGGAAAGTAACATCATCACAGGGTGTATCCCTAGAACCATGTTAAGCTAAACCTTGAGGGATTACATTCTTGTCAAGACCGACAGGCATAAGCTGAAATTGCGTCGCAAGATTTACGATCGGCTTGGGTAAGGTTTAACCACTTAACCCCCCATTGTTTTCGCCGCTACTGAATTCTATAAACTGTCAGCTTTCACACAATTTAAAATGTACATGTGTATTTAAAAATGTCATGAAAATTGTGTTGCTAGCTTCATTTTGCAAAAATGTTGCAAGTTTTTTCACAGCGTGAACAGAATAGTACTTTGCTGAGGAAATGTTGTCGAATTTCACACTTGTTTCACAGAAAGAAGTTTTATATGCAATTTAACAGCTTTTCACGTGAAATAGGAATAAAATACTATGCTTAAGAACAAAGATTTTTAAATCGACAAAAAATTAATAAGAAAATTTGAAGTATTTTAGTTGTTGGGTATGGTAGCACGAAATGTCACAATCTGCTTAATTGTCAGGTTGTTAATATGGCGACGGAAAAGTGACAATGGAACTACCTTGTTTTTTGTAT